TCCTGCCCTGAACTCCCTCAGTGACAGATTATTACCTAGAAGTGTAAGATTAAATAAGCCCTTTCCTCTCCCACTTGGCTTTTGGTCATGGTATTTTATCACAGCAACATAAAGCATACTAGACCTAGTATAGGGGGTAACCTATTGCCTTCTGATGGGATTTAAGATCTGTTACACAAGATGGAACTCATGTCTGGTATTGTAAACCTAGCCAAGAACTTAACGGTTGCAGAGCTAACATGCCCTAAGGGCGAACCTACTACTTATTATTTTGCTAAATGGACACTTACCAAGATCCCTTCTGAATACTTTCTTTTTACACACAGACCAGTACCGTTCTCAGTCCTTACCAGAGAAGCTTCTTATCACAGTGGATGTTGGTTCATACAGATACTCAAAACTGTTCAGGGTACAGAGAATAAATGACTGCAGACTGAGTGCGAAGTGGTGCCTGATGGTCTCATGCACTTTGTGTGCATGGTATGTGCACCTATTTATGTGTGCACAAGTGTGTAAGAGCTCATGCATGTGTGTGCATGTGAAAGCCAGAAGTCAATGTCTGGTGTTTTCCTCAATCATTCTCCACTCTGTTTTTGAGACAGTCTTTCACTGAACCTGGAGCTTGCTGATTTGGCTAGACTGGCTGGCCAGAAAGCCCCAAGTCTCCAGGATCCTCTAGTCTCTATCTCCCTGATGCTACACCTTGTTTTTTCACATGGGTCTAGAAGATCTAACTTGGGTCCTAACACAGAATGCAACAAATACTTCACCAGCTAAGCTATTGTTCCTGCCTCCTCGTGTGCCTTTTAACCATATCTTCTCTAGCCCCATGTTTGCCCAGTCTCTAATTCAATTGTTTGGTTTCTTATTACATTTTAAGAACTTTTATATATTATAGACACTAGCTTTTATTTTAAATCTAGTCTACAAATGTTCTCTACCTTTATTTAGGTTTTCTTTAAGCTTGATAATATGTACTTCATATGTTAAAGTTTTAAATTTTGATGAAGCCCACTTTGTCTAATTTTTGTGCTTTTGGCACACTATTTAAGAGACCTTTGTCATATCCAAGATCAAGTTTTTCCAACCCAAAATAGTTTTATATTTCTAGCTCTTGTATTTTGGTGGTTGATTCATTTTCTGTTAGTTTTTGATATTCTATGAAATGGGAATCTAGCTTTATTCTCTCACAACTCCTACCTAGCAGTTCAACACCAAGTTTAAAAGACCATTAAATGTTCTTGGCTTCGTCAGAAGCCAACCAACCACAGAGGGATGTTTTAAGTCTCTCAGTCTGATGCATTGGGCCATTCGCAGAGCCACACAGTGTCCAGAAAATTTGGAATCCAGATGTGAGTCATTCCACTTTATTCTTTTTAGGGTTGTTCTGGCCATTTGAGGTCCTTTACAATACCATGTTACTTTTAGATAAGGGGCAAGCAATGGGTAGCATTCCATGTCTTTGGAGCTTCCTTTGTTTTTCTTCATCTATTCTGCTTCTGGTGTCTGACTTTTTCTGTGGAGACATGAACAAACATCTATTTACCACATATAAGAACCTACAATTGACCAAAGTAAAGTAATGATTCCACCCAAGTCTAGATTAGTGAACCAATGAGTTTCCTGGGGCTAATTATAGCAGTATGGACAACAGGTTACTCCAGAAACATGAATGATTCAAAAGCTACTGCATCACTGGAAAGCCCACTCAAACACAAATGATAATTCACAAAATCTGCATCCCTGGAGTTCCTTTTCTCAATTTGCAGGCTGCTAAATAGTTTGGGGCATCTCCTCTACACAGAAGTTGTAATTGCTTGAGGAGAGTCCTTGTGAATATTATAAGTTTCAGGAACTTCCTAAGACTTGTGAGGTGTTTATTTTCAAGTTTTGTTTACTTGCATAGTTTTAAAGAGCCTCCTCCAATATGAAATGATCCCATTTTGAGCAAGTTGCTATACAACAACTTCTAAGTCTGGGTAATTTTCTTTGATCTTTAAATTTACTGAATCTCTCTTTTGCCTGCCTAGATTTTCATTGGCCATCTCTAGGGACTTTCTAATGCCAGTTGCACATTTCAAATCCAAAATTTTTATTTAGTTACTTCTTCAAATTTCATTTCTTTATTGAAATTCTGTGGTTGTTGAAAGATTGTTCTCTTTATTTCATTCTGTTCTTTGAACATATCCAAGCATTTGGCTTTAAGCTTCTGTCTAGTAAGGCTACTTCATGTGATTTTTAAATGGAAGGTTTTATTTATTTTCTTTTTCCTATTAGTAATCCAGCTTTCTTGCTTCTTTTAATGCTTTATACCCTTTTTGTTGAAATTGGACATTTTTAATAAAATGATGTGATAACTCTGGAAATCAAATTTTGTGTCTCATTTTTGTTGTCCTTTGTTATGAGTTATAGGTGTTTCTATTTTTTTCTATTTTATTATTTTTGTGGTCCTTGAGATTGAACTCAGAGCCTTTCAAATGCCAAACAAGCAGTCTACCATAGGGGTATAGCCCAACCCTTTCATTTATTTTTTTTATTTTGAGACAGAGTCTCTGTGAAGTATTCAGGTAGTCCTTGAAATCCCGCTTGGTCCCAGGCAAGTCTTGAGTTTGCAACCTTCGTGTCTCACGCCTCTGAGTAGCTGGTGCTACAGCTCTGTGCCACCAGGCCCAGCCTGTAATTATTTACTTGGTGACTTTTCTAAACTTTTCTGTTTTGCAGAGTTTGTATTGTCCCTATATACTGCTCACTACCAGTCAATTATTTACTGATAGAGTTTTCCTCAGACATCCCCAGTCAAAGGGGGGAAACTAGGAAGAAAAGAAAATGTATTCCCCATCTGGGGAGTTTGGCGGTGTTGGAAGCACTTCTCTAATACTTGGCCAGGCTGTTTACAACTCTGCCTTGACTTCACATTTTGCTTAAGCTAAGTCTAAAGATCGGCTGAGATGAAAGTTCTTTGGGAGCATATGACCTGTCCAGAGCATGTATGAAGGTTCTCTAAATTCCTCTGTATATATGACAGCTTTTCAAAATCCTGGTTTCCCAAGAACCTCCCTGCCCAGCCTTTCTTCTCAGGCTCCAGAATGTCTGTCATTTACCTCAACTGTTAGTGTTGGCCTTAGGCAGCTGCCAGAATCTATTTGGTTTTCATTATAGCTGCTGCTCTGTCGGGATGGGTTCTGGAAGGTTGCACCAGTTGTTCAATGAACTTAGAAGTCAAAAAATAAAAAAGCAGTATATTGTATTTGTATGTAATCCCTGAGACCACACAGAAGCCATTGGCTATGGTCTTTGGGATAGCACTAAGCTGAGCATGTGCCATCGGACAAGGGGAGGCCGACCTACAGTGTGTTCACCTGGGGTGGGGGACCATATAGCTACCAACTCTGAGTATTTTCCAGAGTTCCAACAAGATTAATTTGAGTAGTTTTGCCAGGTTTTCAGGGTTTCTTGGAAGGGTTAGACAGAGGCCCCTATCCCACTGTTTTCACTGGCCTCCTTGGTTGGAATTTTAATTCTGATTTCAGGTGACTAACTTTTGGAAAGTTCTTGTTAAATTCAATGATTTTTTTAAAAATTTCTCTGCCTTATTAACTCAACATTTTTAACCTAATGAAAGTTTTTCCATCTTCCTACCACAGAAAGGAGCATCTGCTGTTCATTAACTATGTGGCATACCCTCATCCAATTGTTATGGTCTTCATGTGCTCCTGTGTCAGTAGCATGCCTTCACTTTAAATTCTAAGGTTTGCCTATATTGATTTTATAAAGTAAAAAAAATCCTACAACTATAATAACATATTTCCACAAATAATTGAACAAGATCTTTCACAATTATTACTAAAACTGATTCTGCCTCCCCCTAAAATTCACACATCCCAATGTTCCATTTGTACTTAGAAAAGAAAATAACTCCAACTGAATTAATCTATTAACCTCTGCTACATCGGTGTCTCACTTGTGTGTAATACTAGAGGGTAAATACATACACATGACATTGCCATAGTGTGTATGTGTGCATGAATGCATGTGCGCGTGCGCGCGCACGCGCACGCACACACACACACACACACACCATTATATACATACATGATGTATCTATTAAAGTGAAGTACAGCTCTGCCATGACAAGGACATGGTATGCAAAGAAAAGGCAGGTCATGATACTTTTGCTTTTAACTCTAGATTAATTAAAATTACATAAAATTTGAAATCAACCCCCATTGGCCATATTTCAGTTTCATTCGTTCTGGTAGCTCATGGCTGATTGGTCAGAACATGTCCAGGGCCATGAGAGAGACAAACGGTAAGTCAAAGCCTGTGTGACCAGGAAAGGGGGTCAATGGGAAGGCATCTACCTGTACCCTCGGCTGACAGTGAGCTTCTGACCAAGGACAATCAGGAAGGGGATGAGGCAGGTTGTTGTGTAACAAGGAGACCAACTTCAGATCCTAACCCAAGATGGAACTCCCCGTGCATGGAACTCCCCGTGCATCCTTGGTGTCAATATAGAGAGGAGAAAGTCCATTTTTATGGAAAGCAGTTTCCCACCTAATATAGAAAGTTATGCATCAGAGTTGAAGCCTTGAAGGCCAAGTATCAGCTGAGGAATGGGTAAAGTCATGGCTGCGGCTCTGTCTCAAAGTTGGGGCATCAAACACGAAAAGCACAAGCTACAAGAGAAGAAGAGAGGTAATGAGACAACCACACAGCTACCCAGCCTGCGACCCAGAACCATACGGAGGACAGAGCACACTTGGCTGCAGGCTCAAGGCAGCTCCTGTGTGGCTTTTGCATGATATATTCATACTGAACTCTATGCTAAGGAAATAATCTGAAATAAAGAGAGCATTCATGTGCAAAAATACTTGTCATGATGCAAAACTGGAAACAAAAATATATACTGTGGTAATTGAAGTTAAGTAAATGGTTAACTTCACAAGAAGAAAGGCCTTAGATAATAATTAAATATCGGCTTCTGTCTTCTTCCTCTTCAGGAAGCTGCACTGCACCAGGAACTACATCCACCTGAATCTGTTCCTCTCCTTCATGCTGAGAGCCATCTCAGTGCTGGTCAAGGACAGCGTTCTCTACTCCAGCTCAGGTACACTGCGCTGCCACGACCAGCCGGCCTCCTGGGTAAGGCTTTCCTAAGGGCAAGAATCCATGTGTGTGGGGCAGACCCTAGCATCTACCAACTTCTTTCCTGTCAAAGAGACAGCAGTGGCATAGTCCCTCTTAAGCCTGAGCAATGGAGAAAGGGATGACTTCAGACCTGTGTCCGCAGCCACAACCAGGAGGGTCCAGAAGAAGGCTGGGTGGTATCTAGCTACTGTGGGGGCTGAGGAATTAAAAGTCACCAGTCCCTGGTGACTAACCCTGAGATGAATGCAGCAGCAGCAGCAGGTGACAAGTCATTTTGTTGATGAGCATACACTTGTCCAAATCACCCAGATTCCAAGAGATGAAAACTTTTACCCATTTTCTAGATGAAATCACCTTCCACGGTGTATAAACCCTGGACAGTGCCAGTGGGAGGCATACGCAGTCTACATCTTTGATACAAGAACAGACAACGCTGAGGACAGTATCTGCGGTACAGCAGGGGGTCTCTCACGCGCTGGGCCATCTGCCTTGGCTCTGCTTGTGGGGTTAGTGGTGGTAATTTGCTACCTACTCAAGTCAATTGGGCAAGTATTTGAGAGCTTCCTACATGCAAATCTTCCCAAGTTTTTCTCTGCTAGCATGTAATGCTCCACATTTAGGAATTTAGTGTGTTGGTCCTTATCTATGGTCTCAGTGGCTTAAAGAGCCAAGACACTGAACTGCCTCCCACCACCGCATGCAAGTAGACACATTGGTTAACACCCTTTTGGTCCTGAACAGATATTAATTAGTTTAGTTTTGACACAGCAAAGTGCCTTGTAGCTGCATAGCATGTCAGCTGTGTCTAGCTGTCACCATCTTCCTGGAGGGAAGTGTATTCTCCAGGCTCGTGATACAGAACTGGGCTCTAAAAGGAATCTGTTATAATACCAAATCAAAAACAGGATCCACCACCTAGAAAGGTCCACCCCCAGGCATATCTTGCTGTCTCTGGAGCTTTTGTTCTGAGATGAGAATCTTGCCAAACACATACCAGTGGTGAACACCGAGATGTTGCAAATCTTCTCACTGCATTTCCCAGAGCTGCTCTGTGAAACTTTCATTGCTTAGCTCTTTTCTTTTTTTTTTTTTGGTTTTTCGAGACAGGGTTTCTCTGTGTAGCTTTGCGCCTTTCCTGGGACTCACTTGGTAGCCCAGGCTGGCCTCGAACTCACAGAGATCCGCCTGGCTCTGCCTCCCGAGTGCTGGGATTAAAGGCGTGCGCCACCACCGCCCGGCGCTTAGCTCTTTTCTTAAAGAAATTGGTCCTCAGAGACAACCCAATACCTACCTTCATCTGAAGCACCTATGCTGAACTCTACCTTGATGCTGAGACCAAAAAAAAAAAATCTGAACCCTTCATGTGAAGGGGCAGGGAGAAGGTGGCAGGCACCCCTGAAGTAGAAAAGGATGGAACAATGCCACCATCCTGCTCTGCCCTCTCCACATGGCCAGCTCCCACAGGGCAATCTCCACCTCCCACAATGTTGAGTTTCTTCTAGCGCTAGTCTGTTTCCAGGCACTGTTTGTGGGTGCTAGCTGAAGCAGGATTTACGTGCATCACACATGATGACACTGGGCTGAGGAAATCTTGCAGTTTTCCCAAGGTAGTGAGGATCCAACCCGCTGCTCGCCCAAGGTCAGACACTAGCATACACAGGCCAGAGTTGAAACCTGGGGTGAGAGTTGAAAATGGGGACAGGTTCCTCCAGTCTGTTTCCTGGGCTATTCTCTGGGGAAGAGCTGTGCCCCAATACCCGATGGCCCTGGGATTCCTACCAAGAGGAGGCAGACAGGAGGGGCAAAGGAGCAAAGAGGGATCCAAAGAAGGAAGGCAGAACACAGCATGGAGGAAGAGAACAGAGGGAAAAAAACGGGGCTGTCTAAAGAATGATAAAGTGCTGAACGCATTAACAAAAGAGAGTCAGATTGCAGAATGAGCAATAGGAAACAATTTTCCTTCCAATTCCATTTTTTTCCCATTTTATTCCTGGCTGCATTTCACTAAACCAACATTATTCTCCCAAGCAACCCACCAGGAATGCTCCCCACGATGTGACAAATTGCTTTTTCCAGGCAGCAGAACGAGTCCATGCATGAAGAGGCCTCTTCCTGGCCAGGGGAGGCTGGCAGAGCAGCTCTTCCATGTGGCTGGAGGCTACACAGGTTCTTCAACTTCTGGGCAGCTTGCATGAGGCAGAGCAGTTCATCGCTGGGGATCAGAACAGGTTTCTCTTGGGGTCTGCAGATCCAAAGAAGGCTAAACTCAACCTGAGTCCTGCCTACCTGGATGAGGGGAGTGGATAGGCCACAGCCCTAAACACTACAGCAAGTCCCAGACAGACACCTGGACAGACAGGCTCTCTCTGACAACTGAGTATCTGGGGCAATGAGAAGATAGCAGACCAATGGTCCAGGCTGGAAGCTTGACTAGAGAGATCTTCACCCCACATAGCTGATGTCAGAATGAAAGAGGGTTGAGAAGGCAGGAAATGAGAAGAAAACAGCGGATGATATCACCCACATATATGTGCAGAGTGTATACAAAAACCTGTGCATGAGTAAACACATTTACAAAAATGTGTGTAGATATACACATGTTCAAGACATTGTCCAAACACATGTGTACACGCATCACAAGCACATCTGTGTGCACATATGCACAAGCACTCCAGACACGTGAACATGCACATGGGTATATACAAAAACAGAGGCTCTCAGACAGAACTTTAGTCTCTTAGGAGTCTGCTACTCATTTGCCTGGACCTTGTAATTCTTCCTTGCTATCCACGCACTGACCTAGAAGGGCAGCAGCAGACCCCCATGGATGCCAGTGTTAGGAGGTTTAGTGACCAACGTTGTGAAGTCAGAAGAGGATCCATGTCACTCAGGACTCTGGTCCTCACAGATCACACTGGTTAGTAAGCAAAGGGAAGGAGACGAGAAACAGTTTTTCTGACACCATTTAGCGAGAACATGGCATCATCATAAGCATACTTCTGTGCCTCCTCCTATATAGATGCCCTCGAGTCAGCTGTGCCCTGCTCTCTGCCATCTAGGTCATGTCATGGCCATCACATGGTGCAACATAATTCATCTGACTGGTTCCCCAGCACGGACACAGTCTTGATTTTGCATGTTTCTGTTGTATCTCCAGGCATGCTCTTCCACACATCAATGTGTTTGTGTCTCTGTGAGGTGCAACTCACAGGTGGATTGGAGCAGTCATCTTGGAGCATCTCAGCAGCCTGGGCAGTCATGCCAGCACAGACACTTGTTCTTCCTATTCTGGAAGCCAAAGGGCCTGCACAGAAACACTGACAATTTGGCGTCTTGTAAGGGTCATAAACAACCCACTTTTCAACCAAATCCTTATCACCAACCAAAACACCTCCTCATACCATCACCTGGGGGCTAGAGTATCTTGCTGTCTCAGTAAAGATTTCTATTGCTATAAAAAGACACCATGACCATGGCAACTCTTATAAAGGAAAAACATTTAATTGAGGTAGTGGTTTACAGTTTCCGAGATTTAGTCCATTAACATCATGGCAGGGAGCATGACAGCTGGAAGTATGGTGGAGTGCAGGCAGACATGGCTACATCTTGATTAGAAGGCAACAGGAAGTGAACTGTAACACTGGCAGTAGCTTGAGCGTAGGAGACCTCAAAGCCCACTCCCACAGTGACACACTTCCTCCAACAAGGCCATACCTCCTCCAACAAAGCCACACTTCCTAATAGTGCTTGGGGGCCATTTTCTTTCAAACCACCACATTCCACTCCCTGGCCCCCATTGGCTTGTAGCCATATCATAATGCAAAAAAAATGCACTCAGTCCAACTTCAAAATTCCCCATAGTCGATAACTGTCTCAAACTTTTTTCAAAGTCCAAATTCTAAACTCTCTTCTGAGATTCATGGCAACCTCTTAAATGTAATCCCCTATAAAATTAAAATTAAAAAAACAGATCACATACTTCCAACAGATAACAGCACCTGATAAACATTACTGTTCCAAGGGAAGGGAGCATAGTGAGGAAATACTGGACTCAGAGTGCAAACTCCAAATTCTATGTCTCAATATCTGATGTCAAAACACTCTTCAGATCTCCAACTTCTTTCAGCTTTATTGACTGCAACTCACTTTTTTCTCTTGGACTGGTTCCTCTCCCTGTTAGCAGCTTTCCTCGGCAGGTATCCTATGGCTCTGATCTCTCTAATATCTTGGGGTCTCCAAGGCAATCCAGGCTTCAAGTTCACAGTTTCACACAATGGCCTCTCTGGGCTTCCATTCGGGGACACCCCTGACATATGCCTGACCTCAGCGGCTTTCCTTAGTTAAGGGGGACAATTCCATAGCCCTTCCTGCTATCCTTAACTCCAGGACCACATGGCTGAAGCTGCTAAGTTCTGCAGCTTGCTGAGGCTAGAACATGGCCCTCTCGTTCAATTACATCTTCTCCAGCTTTCTGGTTTCCATGGTTTTCTTCACTGCCTGAGTTTGGCTGTTCTGGAACTTGTTCTGTAGATCAGGCTGGCCTCAAACTCAGAGATCAGCCAGCCTCTGCCTTCTGAGTGCTGGGATTAAAGGCATGCATCACCATACCCAGCTCTAAGATTTTCTTTAAACTTGGCTCAGTGGGATCTTACCCTGAGGTCACCACTCCCTTTATTCCATTTCTTAATCCATTTATCTCCTTGAACACAGGATTTAGCTCTATTACACTTCCTAGTGCCCTTTTTCTCAATCTGTACATTTTGTATTTTTATTTGCTCATCTTACTCCTTTTCATTATAAATCTTCATCAGAGTTAACACTAATAAACACATGACAGAGTCTATATTAGACTATTTTGAGATTTCCTATGACAACAGATTAATCCAAAACTCTTCACTTTAGCCTCAGGCAAACTCTTCAGACAAGGGCAAGAAGCAGCCACTTTCTTCACCAAAATATCACAAGACCAGCCTCTAGGCCACATACTAACATTCTTCTCCTCTGAAACCTCTTGATTCCCCAAAGTTCAAATCATTATCAGCACCACTGCCTTCCATGTTCCTATTAGTATGTCCCATTAAGCAGTACTTAAAGCATTACACTGCTTTCCTAACCCAAAGTACCAAAGTCCAAATTCCTCCAAACAAAAACATGGTCAGACCCATTAAAGCAATACCCCTGTCTCTGGTACCAACTTCTGTCTTAGTTAGGGTTTCTATTGCTGTGAAGAATAGCAACTCTTAAAAAGGAAAACATTTACAGTTTTAGAGGTTTAGTCCATTATCATCATGGTGGGGAGCATGGTGGCATGCAGGCAGACATGGTACAGGCTATGTCTTCATCAGAAGGCAACAGGAAGTGGACTGAGACACTGGGTGGTATCTTTGAGCATATATGAGACCTCAAACTCCACCCCTACAGTGACACACTTCCTCCAACAAGACCACCCCTACTCCAACAAAGTCAAACATCCTAATAGTGCCACTCCCTTTGAGGGCCATTTTCTTTCAAACCACCACACTTGCAGAGGGCAGATGCATTTTAAATTGTAAGCAAATAAGTTGACTGCTTTTTGAAATGTACCAGGAGAACTATGACATGATGCTTTCTTTCTCCTTGGTGCCCAGTGTCCCTTTCAAAGACATTGCCAAGAGCAGCCATCCTTCTGGGATTCTCTCAGCACCCCGCCCCAAAACATGATGCTATCTTTCCTCGACAAGTTTGCCTATTACCGTTGTTTACTAAAATGAGCCTTTTATGTTTCTGTTGCAAATGTATTTCCAGATTCACCATTTGTCAGTTGCATTTAGTGGTATTTTGCTTCCTAGAAGTTTTCAGTATTTTTGTAAGCTCAAAATGTCTTCTTGCCTTTTAGCATTATGTTTATATTTGGTTTTCAGGTTTCCTATCTTGATTAAGAGATATTTATTTTCAAATTTGTTCATTTATGTCTTTAACACACTTGTAATTTACTCATTTTGTGTTTTGAGGTAAGGTAGCCTTTATCAAATGTCAAAAAAGCAAGATACATTTAAACAAATCATCACTTACAAGACTCATCTCTCAAAGATTTTTAATTTGTGTCACCCACTATTGCAGTTTCATGCCTGGGTGGTTGTGACATTTATGCTCAGGATCTCATGATAGACCAGAGACTGCTGAAATCTTCACTGATGAAGATGGACAGGTGTCTGACTGTTCCTAGAAACAGAAGACTTTCTGTACCTTAATTTCATTTGGAGAAAAAGGAGTCAGCAAAGCATGAGACTAGGGAAATGTGGAACAGGCTGGGGTATGGGTAGAATTCAGCACGTTAAGGTCAAGCCCCTCATGGCCACTGAGGACATCTGGAAAGGCTTCCATGTTTCCTGTAAGTACATCTACCCTGTGTATGGTGTAAAATATATAATCGGTATATTCCAACATTTGCTCTCCCTTCACATAAGCAGGGATTTCATAAACCAGGGATTTCAACTTTATAAGCAAATGGGAAATTACTGCTTCTATAGGGGAAAGAATATCACTTTCAACTCCATTCTCTTCTATCTATAAAGATGTATAACTATAAATATACACAAGTAGAAATACATATATGTGGATAATATTGTATTATGAATAGGTATATGCAGGATGGATGTATTTTATGTATAGAATGGGAATATATTCAAATGCATGTGTTATATATATGTGTGTGTATGTGTGTGATATTGTGCTCACTCATATAGGTGAGCACAAATTTGTATCTGTACATGGGATGTGTGTAGCTACAACATACACATATATATATGAAAAAGATTGCAAAAGAGTGGGTATTTAAATTTTGAGAAATTAATTAGAGTTGGAAATAAAGTGTAAAATAGGAGAAATATAGCAAATGAATTATTTTTCCTAAGAGTTTTAAAATGGTCTTCACTGGGACAAGGGGATTAAGTATTAATTTAAAGGTTGTCAAGTTTTTGTTTTTTTTTTTAACTTTAGGAACCTAGCTGTGACCCACTGTTTTCTCTTCCCAAACTTCTATTATCTATTAAGGAAATGACGACAGTCTGTCAGCCCTTTCCAACGTTGATCCTTTGTTCAGATGTGGGGGCTGAGGCCAGGGAGCTGCAGGTTCACTGGCCATAGGCTACCCTTTCCCCAGCATCCAGCCACTGACAGCCTCCAGGCATCCTGGCCCTTCCCCTGTACATACCTCAGGTGTGCCTAGCATCGTCCTCACTAGTTTGTTCTGAACTTGACACAAGCTAGAGTCATCTGGCAAGTGGATTACCTCCACCAGACTGGCCTGTGAGCATTTTCTTGATTGATGATTGATACGAACCAGTCCAGCTCACTGGCTGAGCAAGCCAGGAGGAGCAAGCCAGTCAGCAGCACTCCTCCTGGCTTCCACTCTAGTTCCTGCCTCCAGGTTCCCGCCTTGAGTTCCTGCCCTGACTCCTCTTAGTGATGACTTCTCTAGAGAGAAGATAAAATAAACCCTTTCCTCCTTGAACTATTTTTGGTCCTGGTGTTTTATCACAGCAATAGAAACCCTAAGACAAACATCCCACCCATCACTTCACCCAGCAAGTGCTCTCCTCCACTGCATGTCCTGGAGAGGGTGGGCCTCTTGAATGGGCAGTGAAGGAAGAACTGAGGTAAGGGCATGTCTGAGGGGCCAGGAGTAACACAGCATGAAGGAGGACCACGTAGGAGGAGGTATGTCTGAGCCTGGTGTCCAGGAAGGTAGCCAGTGACTGGCTCCCAGGAACTCTCTGCCTGTACTTCTCTCTTCAGAGAAGCAGAGGCTCCCTGCAGATGGTCCCTGGCATTGTATATACAATGGGCTCTGCCCCAGTAGAACACATTTTTGGCCTCTGCCAGGACAAGAAATTAACAACATCCCTCCAAGTCAGTACTCTGGCTTTGCTTTACAACTCAATCCAAACAGAGAACAGCTCTGCCTACCATAACTATTTTTACCAATTGGCACATTCTCTCACTTCTCTGGTTCCAGGTCGGCTGCAAGCTCAGCCTGGTATTCTTCCAGTATTGTATCATGGCGAACTTCTACTGGCTTCTGGTGGAGGGTCTCTACCTGCACACCCTCCTGGTGGCCATCCTTCCTCCCAGCAGGTGCTTCCTGGCCTATCTTCTGATTGGATGGGGTAAGGGCTTCATACTCCCCATCTTGATTCCCTTGATTCATTTGGCCAAAGTATGCAGGCTTCTGCTCAGAACTCCACACCCTCGGGGATACTAAGTGGTCACCTTGGGTGCACTGGGGATTCCATTGATGTCAACTAAGGACCTGGCTTAAATTGCTTTAGCGTTCTACCTCCGTTCACCACCACCCCCCACCCGCCCGCCAGCGTGCACACGCACACCTTGACCTTAAATGAAACTGAGCTACTGACAAGTAGCAAAATAGTTGTTCCTACCCCCTTTTCCCTGTCAGTTCATATTAACAAAGGAAAATCAGGGAGGATCAGACTAATGGCACATCTACCCGACGGCAGGAGCCCAGCCCTTCCCAGAGCAGGGAGGGATGGAAGCTTGTGTGGCTTGGAGGGGCAAACATACAGCCACTAAGGCATCATGGAGCCTGTGAGCATGGCTCCCTCTTACCTGGCCTCCCTGTCTTTAGGAGACAGGTTTCAGCCCTGTTCAAAGCCTCAACTTTCAGACATACCTTTGTGGCCTAATAAGGTGTAAGTTCACATACTGATGAAGACATTAAGCGAGAGCTTGCATATGGTCCTTTGGTTGCAAATTCTTCTTTGGAAGTTCTGGCTCTTGAGTACCAGATGTGTGGGGAGGCTGTTCCTCATCAATGAGATTGAGCCAATCTGATGGGGTCTCTCCACAGGCATCCCCAGTGTGTGTATAGGCGCATGGACAGCAACTCGCCTCTCTTTAGAAGACACAGGGTGAGTGCTGTGTGTGTAGCCACACCTGTGAAATAAGGTCTTCCAGTGCTGGTTGAATATCTGGGAACTAAAGAAGCTTGTATGATTAGAGGCAAGAAACACTTTCTGCCAGTCAAGACATTTCTAGGCAGCATTTAGCACCCTGTGATTAGCAGACAGACGCGTGGATGGTCGTGGGCAAGACTCACTACACGTTCCAGTGTTTGGAAGACATGAGAGGTGAAGATCAAGCCAGGCCTGTGGTTTAGCTAAAACTGGGACAAACCAGGCAGAATGGGTGATATTTTTCATGACTCCTTGGTGTCACGAGAAGAGTGAAGCAGGAATAAGCAGGTTTGGTGGGGGGAAAAAAACAACAATAGAAAACATTGAGATCAGGCTACCTGGCTGCCTGGATGACCTCTGTGAGCAGCTCCTCCTTCAAGAACTTCTGAGCCTAGTGGTAGTGACACATGCACTCCTAGCCTAAATGTCTCCCACAAAAGACCCCAGGGCAGCAACTGTCCGCTGAAAAGCATATCACTCTGTGAGTGGATGGTCTAAAGCAACCTCTTTAGCCTTGACTTCACACTGACAGTGGAAAGAAACCCCTCAGCTGGGGTAGCTGGCCCAGTCGTCACCCTGGGGTCAGCTGGGGTAGCTGGCCTAGTCACCCTGGAAGGCTGGAAGGCTCTCCATGCTCTGTGGGTTCCTGAGAGGATGAACACAAGTTCTCAGAGCCGGCTCAACCGCCTGTGTCACACTGCCAAACTGGGGTCCAAAGGCCATGGAACTCTGCCCTTGCTGGAACAGTTAGCATCCACTGTGGGCCGTGGATACCAGAGCGGGAAGCCTTACATAATCATGCTTCTGCTGGAGATCAACCTTAAGGAAAATCAGGCCCACTTCAACCACTCTCAAGGCATAGTTTTAACTCTGCCTTTAAAACACAGATGCAAACAACTGGGGAGAATATGTATTTTCAGAATGAAGAAAAGCCCTCATGATATCAGGTGAAGGGAGAGCTCATGCCTTGAGTTAAAATGGCAGCTTTGAGACTTGGGCACCCTGGAACTACATGCCGTCCCTCCCCACCCCACCCCACCCCCACCCCCTGTTAGCAGACTGTCTGGATGACTCACCAGGGAGAGCTGCTTCACTCTACATGCACAGCAGTTAGATCTAGTGAGAGGTGACTGGGAAATCTGAGTCTGATTGACAGATGGAAAGAAAGGTCCAAGAAGGGGGAAGGTTGGTTCTGTGCGCTCCATGTGAGAGGTCAGTCCTCAGCTGAACACTTCTGCACAGAGCCTGCTTTGTAGGTTGATTCAATGTGACACCAGTTTCTTTCTCTCTAACAGTTGTTGGGACACAAACGACCACAGCATCCCCTGGTGGGTCATTCGGATACCCATTCTAATTTCTATTGTAGTAAGTAGCTGCCTATGGAGAGGCTCTGATCTGCTCTTCTTTTATGTATCTGCACTGTGCAGAGTGCAGCCACCATACGCCACTGTGCGCCAATGGCTACCGCCTTCCTAAAGAAGGGCCCCATCACCTCCAGGGCAGTTCCCAGGGAAGGGTGGACTCTGAGGGGTGAAGATCAGAATCTAGGCCTGAAGGAGATGATAATAGTCAGTTGCACATCTCCAGCTGCTCAGATAACCACAACTTTATGCAGTAGTGCCCCCAATGCCCACATGAGGTCTTCTTTGGTGCAGTGGGCAGACCTAGTGCCTGGGGTAGATGGTGGCCAAATCCTGTACATGGGTGGTCAGGGATAAGATTGAAGGTACCCACAGATCAGGTAGCCCTTTGTTGTCTCTGTGCAGGTCAACTTTGCCCTCTTCATCAGCATTATAAGGATCTTACTTCAGAAGCTAACCTCCCCAGATGTCGGTGGCAACGATCAGTCACAGTACAAGTGAGTATCTGCTGGTCCAGCATGAAAAATATACATCGAAGTATGTGGAGAGCAGACAGTGCTAGACAGTAGGTCTTCCAGGTTCCTAGATGGCCTAAGGTACCACTGACACTGACATTAGAGTCTGCTAGCTCAGCATTCAGAGGGGCCAAGAAGCCGTGCTGATAGGATGATGGTGCTAAAAAAAAGGGGGGGGGACCTTTTCTCATGTTTGAGAGCATGCTAGAGTCTTGGAATGAGGGTGTTCCTTACATGTATGTCCTTGCTCTGATATCACAGCTTGTCATCTCCCTTAACCACACATTATTCTTCATATTGTCTGTCTCTCCTACCAGATCCTGGGGCTGGCATCTTGTACTTGGACCTGCCTCAGTAATTATCTAACAAGCTGTGCGTCATGGGAAGGGCACAGGGCAGAGGTCAGGAATGTCACCAGCTAATTTATGATTATCCAAGGAATCCATAAATTACCTGTAATTCACAAATTAAAAATAGACTCCAACTCAGGTGTGACCTGAACATAATGAGCTCAGTGCTGGTGTATTTGATGCAGCTCAGGAGCCTAGGCTTAGACGAGGCTGTGCTGCATCTCTCTGGCCAGGTCATCAGCTCCCAGGCACTTGGAAATTACCACCTACATCCAGGTTCCTTCCCATCCACAAAAAAATAAAGCAGCATCCATGTGGGTGCTGAGCTGAAGAATGGCTGAGCAGGAGGGGGCCTTCCCTATATTCTGTCTCCTCCCTGTAAAATAGGATGGATGTTTGCCTGTTAGGTTTGAGAGACAATTGAATTAATCCTTGAAAGACATTCAGTGCCTGGCACAGAGAATCAAGAAGGGATTGGGTGGGCATTTAAGTCTTAGTTGTGCCATGCTGTGCACAAAGTACAAGGAATAAGTTTCTATTTGTGGAAGAAATGATCTACACATAACAAGGTGTAGGCTGCCCACATGGTGCTTGATAAGAGACGCTGGTCCCCGTGCATCCCCCCTGCAGTCTTGAAAAGCAGGGTGGGCCTTCTTAGTCGCCCTGCAATTGAATTTGGACTTTCAGCAAATCTTGTTTAGTGTCCGTGCTGACCTTTCCTCTGGGTTTCTGGGGAGTGTTTGTTAAGAAGGTCTTGAGATGGATGCTTTTATTTTGGAAACAGAATTATATGGGGTAATGAAGTCTGTGCTTTCCAGGGTGATGAGAAGGGCAGAGGGCTGTGCTTCACCCCTTGGGTTGTAGCAAAGAAGGACTAAGGACCTTCCTTTCCCGCAGCACGTCCCTAGAGACAGATGGGTAGACAGGTCATGTAAATGACCTATCAGCAGCTCCCTTATAACCTCAGCTAAAGGAATGGTGCTCCGTAGCCTAGTGACCCACCATGCTGATGCTGAAGGACTTGGGCACAGAGCCTTGAGGGTGCACATCTGCAAGGTAGCAGCTGCACTGATGTCTTGTTGGTAGGGATACCTTCCTCTTGTACCCATGACCATCACAGAAAGGACCAGGCTTCTGTGCAGGCTATGAAACAGGGGAAATCCTGTCCTTGGACACAAGATGTGGAGAAAGGCACACACCTCTAGAACTTACCCTGTGTCTTAGTTAGGATTACTATTGCTAAAATGAAACACCATGACCAAAAAGCAAGTTGGGTAGGAAAAAGTTTATTCTACTTACACTTCCACATCACTGTTCATCACTGAAAGATGTCAGGACAGGAACTCAAACAGGGTAGGATCCTAGAGGCAGGAGCTAATACAATCAGCTAGGCCTTCCTTCCCCCATCAATCACTAATTAAGAAAATGCTGTACAGCCGGATCTTATGGAGGCATCTTCTCAGTTGAGGTTGGATCCTTTCAGCTAACTAGCTGTGTCAAGCTGGTGTAAGATTAGTCAGAATACCCTGTTCAGTGTGGACTTGAAGAGGATACCTTTAAAAATAAGTTAGGGAAAATTGATCCCCCCCCCCCCCCGTGTTAGGAAGTGATGAGAGAAGCAAGAGGGACAGGAAGCAGGAGTCTCCTGCTTCCCCTAGCTGAATCGAGATGGGCTGTGTGCTTAGAGATACTCAGCAACCAGGAGAGGGCTCCCACTTGGCTGCATACCCTCCAGGTGGTTTCTCACGAGCACTCACTCCTGGGCAATTGGAAGCACCTGAGGATGGTAAGCTAGATACCTGGTCCCTAGTATGGGGCTCATAGAACATGATGAGGACAGCAAGCCTCACATGTCATAGGCCTAGAGCATGGGTTCTCAAAGTCACTAGGAACTGGGCAGAAATGCAGATTTGGGGGCTGTTGCCCCGCTGTCCCCCTGTTCCAGAATTCTGATGAGGCCTGAGCTACAACAAGACCTCCACATGGTTCGAACGCAGTCGAAGTCTGGGAAGCTGTGGTTGAGATAACTCAGCTGCCAGGAAAAACCTGATCCGTATTGACTGGTGTCTATATCAGTAAGCAAGGACCCCTCTATGTGTTGGGGGGATGCCTCATGCAGTGCCCCCTCCCATTGCTAAGAATGGAGTCCAGGGTCCTTGCTCATAGTAGGCTTTGTCACTGAACAATAGCCCAGCCCTACCAGAATGCATCTGTTCAAGACTAGTGTGGCCCACTTGTTGGCACTGGTGACAAAGGACCGTAAGTCCCCTAAAGCTGGTGAGCCACACAACACGCCCTGTAAGAACCTTTTCTTCGTGAGTAAAATCACATAGCCACATTTGCAAATTCTGCCCAAATGTGCCAAGAGGAGGGTTCACTAAGTACAAGAAAAGTAAGCACCTGCGTGTTCCCTGACCACTTCAGACGCCCCCCGCCCACAGCTCCCACAGTCCAGAGTGGGAGGAGCGAGCAGCTCAAAGTATCATGTTCTTCTTCTACCAGGAGGCTCGCCAAGTCCACACTGCTGCTAATCCCACTGTTCGGCGTCCACTACATGGTGTTTGCTGCTTTCCCCATCGGCATCTCCTCCACATACCAGATCCTGTTTGAGCTATGTGTTGGGTCCTTCCAGGTAAGTGTGGGAGGCGCTGTGGGCACTGCAAACTGTGGGCAGCTCTGATCCTCTGTCTCTTTGCAGGGCCTGGTGGTAGCAGTGCTATACTGCTTCCTGAACAGTGAGGTAAGTCCTCTGTCAATTGGAACTGAGCACTGACACTGGGGTCAGGAGTGGGCCTCATCACCCACCTCTGCCCAGCTGTGCCCCACACAACCAAGGCCAAAGTTGCTGTCCCCAAATCCCCACTTGGGAAGGCTTCCACCCCTTCCAGCAAAATTTAACCTCTGTCCTCCACCAATGTCTTCTTCATGGTCAGCACCTTACTCTTCCACAACCTGCAACTGAGTCCAAGAAGTTATGGTGTTAGTGGGAAGGGCTGGGCCTCATTGAGAGATGCATCACTTTGTCCCAAGACAAAGTCAGAGCCCGGTTCTCCTTCTGTGACCACTCCCTTCCATTCTCCCTTCAGTCTCCAGAATCTACCCACCCTAGGTATTGGTGACTGTTCCTGTGACCCTCACCTGATGACGAGCCCCTTCTTCTAGTCACTAAGAAAGGCTTTTACAGAGCCAACATCCATGCCCCCTTCCAACACTTTCTTCACTCAGAGTCCTTAAAGGGGAAAGGTGTTGATGATGGTCCTAAAGGAGCCATGGGGCTGTGCTGAGGCAAGACGGGCCCCCATACTATATCAGACTCCCCAATATCCCTAAGGCTATACCTTTTCTGTCTACTCCAGCTACTTACAGCCCCATGCTGCATCAGTATAACCTCCTGGTGTTTGGCATTCATACGCAGCAAAACTCGGCCCATCTCCTACAGCTCTGTGTTCTGCCTGCCCCTCCTCACTCACTCAACACCTTCCTGAGGATAAAACTTCTCTCCAGGAACCAGTAATGGGGGTGGGCCAGAGCACCCATCCTGTGGCTACTAGAGAAGAGTTTAAACCACACCAGCTGTGTGCTGTTTGCTGTCCAATGGGTGAATCCATGCTGCTTGTCTCTTTAGAGAATACATGAGTTCCTGCATTCCAAGCTGACCCTCATTAATTCCCTCATCCCCAGGTACAGTGTGAACTGAAAAGAAGGTGGCGAGGCCTGTGCCTGACCCAACCTGGGAGCCGGGACTACCGGCTACATAGCTGGTCCGTGTCCCGGAATGGCTCAGAAAGCGCCCTACAGATACACCGTGGCTCCCGCACCCAGTCCTTCCTGCAGACAGAGACCTCGGTCATTTAGCGGTGTCCCTCGAATGGAACTGGCAGTGCTGCTGGGTTTGACACATGTGTTTGCTGGCTTCCTCTGCTGCTCCAGATGCCTGATGCCTTACTGGGTCAGCCCTGGTCCTTACTCTGATCCTCATGTGTAACTCAATCGAAACACTAATTATTATTGTCAAACTCCAGCCTTTAATCCATCCTCTTCATAACATGGCTCAGCCACATAGGCAGGTCTACTTTCAAAGACAGCAAGAAAGCCAAGTGGCCTTGATCATCAAAACTGGAGCCTGGTACCTCTGAAGAAGACGAGGAGGAAGTTTCTGGTTCCCTGCCTCCTGGCAGGGGGAACTGGGTCCAGAACCAGCTGATCATCACCGCCCTGTGGCATGCCTGTGGATGTCTATGAAATTCCTCCTCAATCTATGACCGACCAGGGAAACCAGCTGACGGCAGCCTTCTCATCCTAGAAGCTTCCTGGTCCCCACGGCCTTGAGTTCTGTGCTGTGGGATGGGCCTCTGCATCTGGACAGCCACACCCTTGCCACTCCCTGGACCGTTTGGTAGTGACCAAAGACAAGTCAGGGACAATGTTCCTGGTTCAGTGGCCAAGCCAGGAGCTCATATCCTCCTGGTCACTTGGCATCTGCTGCTTCCTACAGGTGATGAGCAGCTCTGGATTCCAGGCTGGCCCATCAAGATGGAGGCCCTGGTGACTTGTCCATACAACCCAGGGATGTTCTCTAGGCAACAGAAAACTGTACTCTTTTTGAAGAAAGTCAGCATCTTAACATTGTTTAAAAAGAGAATTATTTTCTCAAAATATAAGATGACATCAAGCACTCCTTTCTAATATTTGCCAATAATAATTCTTACTGTTCCTGTTATTTGTGACTGTGGACAGGCAGAGCAGGGAAGTTACAGCATGGTGAAGGAGCAGTTGAAGAGTGAGAACGCCTGTCCCTGCAGTGCCCAGAGACCCTGAGAAGCCACCCAGGCCCGGTGCAAGGGCTGTAGGTTCTGGACCTGGTGTTCTGACACAGTCTATGTAACCACACACACACACACACACACACACCCATACACACACACATATACACACACACATACACACACATATACACACGCACATACACACACATACACATACACACAAACACACACACATACACACACACACACACACACACACACACACACACTTGTGCATGCCAAGGATAAGAGCTGCCAAGTATTTTTCCTGTGGTTCCTGTGGCATGTAGATCCCAGGCAACATGAATGTCAGTGATCTCAACAATTGTTTCAGGGCCAGAGGTCTCAGGGTCATGAAACCACAGAAGTAAGAGCCCCATTTCCAGTTCTCTAGAAATAAAACCAGTACATGGGGACTTCAGGACAGCAGAGAAGTGAGTATCTAGAGACTAGCTAAAGCCCAGTAGCCAGACTTCTGGCCGGAATGTCTGTCCCACAGGACTGCCCCTGGAGTTTTGATTTCATCAACTCTTTTGTTGTTGTTGTTGTTGGTGGTGGTGGTGGTGGTGGTGGTGGTGGTAGTTGTTGTTTTTCAAGACAGGGTTTCTCTGTAGCTTTGGAGCCTGTCCTGGATCTCACTCTGTAGACCAAGCTGGTCTCGAAGTCACAGAGATCTGCCTGCCTCTGCCTCCCAAGTGCTGGGATTAAAGGTGTGCACCACCACCGCCCGACTCATCAACTCTTAACAAGCCCCCATTTTGACGGCAGCTGGATTGGATGGACAGCTCAGATAATCTAGAAGACACCACTAACCTGCTACCTCCCAGGGCTGCAAGGCTAGAGAGCAGGTCATGGGGAGCAAACGGCTTAGGCCAGGCACCCCAAAAAGAGGTGCTGGTGTAGCTGTAGGTGGGTGCTACAAGCCCTGGTACGAGCCTTGCCTTTCTTCACCCAGAGTCATCACTGCTTAATACAGCAGTTCTGGGGAAACAAAGTTCCTTCATATCTGAAAGTGTCCTATCAACAACCAGGCATGGTCACCCTGGCATGACTCCAAAGAGACACGTAGGACCCGTGAACACAAGCAGCCGTCATCCGATAAGCAGTCACTGGTCACACATGGAGCATTCCAATGTGCAGGGACACCATCACCTCGGCCCAGCATGTGCTAACACTAGACAGAGCTGGGCCTAGGTCTTCTCCCTGGTGAAGAGATGTGCTGGTCACAAACTCGCCACTGCTGGAACTGATCAGTCGCAGATGCATGTGAACCACATGGTCAGCATGTGATCTTACGTGTTATATGTGGAATATCTACAAACTGCGCCACAGAGTGGAACTCAGCTGTATATAGACTGCAATAAACATAATTTCATTCCGTGTGAGTTTGCTACGGACGATGGTGAGGTTCCAGAACCTAGCTGTGTGCTACTACACCTCTTGAGTGCCCTGACTCCGGACCATCCTTCCTTACATCCTCATGTAGGAAGGTGGGTCTGAAGTACACGGGTTGTGTAAGTGGCGGCCATGAGGATGTGCCCAGCATACCTGGCTATTCCTACCCTGCAGCCCTAATGCCCTCCCTCAGTCCTACAGAGCCTAAGCCTTGTCAACAGAGCAGGCTGAAGTGTATGTGTGTGTGTGTGTGTGTGTGTGTGCTATGCCCACAGTTATTTATATATGTGTTTAGTGTACCTAAAGAACATGTTGTACATGCAAGTGTGTATGCTCATTTGTAGGTGGGTATTCATGAATGTGTATGGGGTTCACCTATGTGTGCGTGTGGATGTGCTCAGGTATAGGTCTGTGCACATGTGTGCTTGTCTGTGGGTACTTGTGTATTCTGACCCTTAGCCCCTAGGCAGATAAAATGTTTCTGCTCCACATTCAGCATGCTGCTGAGTGTGTAGTCACGAACATTCTACACTGCCATCAAATTCTCAAGAGCATGAACACAGAAGTGATCCAGAGAGCTTCTGAGGAATTTCCTCAGAGAAAGCAGCAGGAAGAGAGAAGTGAGCTCTGCTGGGCCCTCTAGGATCACAGCTGTCCTGTCTGATTAGGGATGCTCAGAATGAGGTGCCCAAAGCAGGGCAGTTCTGTGGATAGGCCCAAGGGAGTCAGCCCGCTGGGACAGCTGGGAACCACAGTGAGAAGCTTCTCCATCTGTGAGAAAACATGAGCTTTCCTTTCTCACCGAATACCGGCCATTTTCAATCTGCTGCTTCAGATTATAGGAACTTCACAAAAGAGATAGGAAGCTCCAGCTCTTTGGGCAACTGTTATGCAGAAAATGGAATGCTTGGAGACTGGCCTCCAACCCCAGAGGTAGCCCTTGAGAACTGGATGCTGGTCCCGGGCCTTTCAGTGCCACACAGACAATTCCCTTCCTCTCTCCTTCCCCCTTTTTACTCATTGAAAGTAGGTCAAGCTGCCTACAGGTTCTTAGCCAGCTTTGTTCAGGCAAGCCAGAGTGGAAGTCTTTCCCTTGCGAACATAGGAAACTTCATTTTTTCTTTTTCAGGGCCAAATCTCACTATGTAGTCCAGGCTGGCTTTCAAGTCTCCATTCTCCTGCCTCAGCCTCCAGAGTATCTGAGATCAGAGATGTGTTCTCCACTGCTACCTCAGAGTACAGTATTTCAACAACTGTATTTCTGTTTCCCTGAGTATTTGCCCACTATGAGCTACAGGTGGAACACAGAATTGAGGGCACTCATCTCTGGGCAAGCTTGGGCCTGGGGCCTGGAGCCTGGAGCCTGGGGCCTGAGGTCTTGGGCCTGGGGCCTGGGGTCTGGAGCCTGGGGCCTGGAGCCTGGGGTCTGGGGCCTGAGGTCTGGGGCCTGAGGTCTGGGGTCTGGGGCCTGGGGTCTGGGGCCTGAGGTCTGGGATCTGGGGCCTGAGGTCTGGGGTCTGGAGCCTGGGGTCTGGAACCTGGGGCCTGGGGCCTGGGATCTGGAGCTTGGAGCCTGGGACCTGGGGCCTGAGTTGGCAGAAGGCTGCCCCTGCCACACTTAGAGGTGCTAAGAACTTGGTAAAGTCAGCCCTGTTGGTATTTTCATTTCTTCCTAGGGCTGCTTGGACAATATTCACTAGAACATTCATGTCTCTAATAGAGAGAGACACTGAGTGTTATCTCTACAGATGTCTCCTCTAACTCTGGTTTAAAGTAGAACCTTAGCCTGGATGAGTGGGCAGCCTCCCTCTACTCCAGCTATTTACAAACGACAAATGAACTCTTCCATTATTGGGAAATAGGGACAAGGACAGGAGAGGCAGCTCGGGAGGTCACAGCTCTTCACACTGTCATCCTCACTGCCAGCAGTGTGCTACACGGGGACTCGGACCACACAAAGGATTTGGGACATCTTTTATATAGAAATGTGTTCTTTTTAGATGAAAAGAGGCACACCCTTCCTTTGTGTTCTCTGGAGAATTAACAAGGAAGCGGAGCAAGTGGCCATGTCAGCAGGTGGTCACCTGGCCGCTGAAGACAATCTCTCTTCTGGACCCTGCAGGGAGGACACTCACCCCCCAAGTCTGTTTAGGACCTTTTCAAAGGCTGCTTCTATTGAACAGCTGGAGCTGAAGATAACGCACTGGAGGATAATTACAAAGCAGGGGCCAGACAGCTCTCCATTTAAAAGTCAAGGTTTTCATAATCCTCACATGTGGAGTTTTATGTAAAATCTCAAAAAGGAACAGAAATGCAATGCCCCTTCAAAATCCTAGCTATTGTGGTTCAAATAATGTAGTTAAAGTAAAATATGTAAACTGTGGATTTTTTAATCATAAAAAATTATTACCCTCCTTTCAGCTTTAAAGATACAGTATGGTAAAGCCCCCGTGCTGCGGCTTGTTAGGTGCTGATTTTTCTATTGCAGGAGTAGGGCCTTTTTGTGACACCATAGTAAGTATTCTTACATCTACAGCAGCTGACGGTTCATCTAGGTCCAGTGTATGAGAGTTGCCACATGTGGATTCTGAACTCATGTACCTGACTCCCGGTGAGGCCTGCTCATCCTAGGGCCTTCAGTTCATTATCCCCTGGCCCTCACCCCCTGCATCTGCCTCTTCCCTCTCTCCACAGCTCTGCTTTGTCAGGGAGATGCATGCGCTGTGAAAGTGAGAGTCTTACAGGGAGGGAGGAAGAGCAGCAGAAATGGGCGGAGCTGGAGGGTCCAGGTGACACTGAGTGGTTAGAGCTGATGGTCCATGTGTCACTGTGAGGAAGAGGCAATAAGGAGAGTGACCTGAAAGGTTAAGAGTCATTGCCAGACAAGCTGAGGAACAGCAAAGCATAGCCCAAGATATGGGCAGTCAAGGGATTAAGGGCCCAAAGGCAAAAGAGAAAGTAGACACAGTCCCAAAAGCAATCAGGACCTCTACAGCATAGCACTGAGCATGGGGTGGTGGGTGGGTCAGGAGTTCAATCCCAAACCAGCCCTGGCCTCTCAGAGGCTCCATCCAGGTTCAATACAAAACCCTTGCGGCTGCCAATAACCCTGGAGCAAAGCAGCCACACCAGAATGTGGAAGCAGCTAGATTGCAGGGAGCCCACAGTGGGTCAGGGCTGCACTTGCAGGACAGTACGGCAGCTAGACCAAGTCACTGGAGCCAATGACTCCACAAGACTCCACAAGATGCTCCAGTGACAGAGACTCCCTGTACAGAGGCAAAGGTAACATGTTCCAGGACAGATGAGAAACCTTCACCCAGGCATCTTGGAAATGCACCCTACACTTGGTCACCATGAGGACCTGCCCGGCTGATCTAGAGCCACCATGTGTCCTAGAATGGAGTTGTTGATAACCATTTTACCAAAAACTGGAAAAGGCAAGAAGAATAAGGAAAATGATGCACACTCCAAATAAGTAAAAGAAAATTAAACCTAGATGCTCTGATGGCCTATAAAAGTGACCTGTACACAGTGGCAGTGACATTAATTTCAAGCTATGCATAGTATGATGAAAAACAACTTGGTGGGTTTAGTACAATGAATTATCATAATATAATGTAATACCCATTGTAACTCACAACATATTAGTTCCCAAGTTTATTTACTCTAAATTTTTTAAATAAACTTCAAAGTGTACATTACATTTAACCCAGTAATTTTATTTCTGGAAACCTTTCCTAACAATACTCCAATTTAAACATAGTCATTGCAGTGATAATTAAAAACTGAAAATAATCTAATATTCAATCATTAAAGAATGAATAAATAGTTACTGAGAATATAGAATAAAGAGCCTGGCATTGGAGCCCATGTGAAGAAGGTGATTCCAAGGACTATGTCCTATGTGCCACCTCTGACAACCACATGCCCTCAGCAGTGTGTACTGCTGCACCCTCAGAAATGAGGTCAGGACCATGGGAAGAGTCATCCATACACAGAAGTACCAGCTTGCTGTACTCTGTCACCTGAGAGCATCTACCAGCACGGAAACTGCTTGCTCAGCCTGAAGCCTGAGACTTCCACCACTGCATTCCTCACAGTAATTAACTCTGCCAAGTAAACCATGAATAATCGACACAAATTACATGATCTATTTACTCACCTAGCAATGATATTACATAATGCAATGAAGGACAGACACTTTTGATCAGATAAACTGCAGAAATGGAAAGCATGGCTTATTCCACCCAGAGGGTTGTCATCTTCATACCTGTAGACCACACCACTAATCAGCATAGCATCTCTTTGCAATATAGACACCTTCCCGGCACTGGCACCCCTTCCTGAGCTTGGCATCTTCTCCTGCCCAGAAAGATAAACAGCCAGTTCATCAAGAAACATAACGCTAAGTGTGTGCGCACAGAACTTACATATACATGATCGGCGTCGTGGTCTGTCTTACCTCTCACTTTCCTCGTTGTAACATATGAATTTCCTTAGCATCAAGGGAACTACAACCATGAGGGAACAATGGTTAGGAAAGGGCATGCTCTTTGCTTACTTCTGAAAATAAATATCTACACATTTTAGGTCTTTATGAACCTGCATTTAAACTAAGAGCCAATAGTTGCTTTGGCCATCTTGTGCATCAAGAACTTGTACAATGAGCTGGGCAGTGGTGGCGCATGCCTTTAATCCCAGCACTCAGGAGGCAGAAGCAGGCAGATCTCTGTGAGTTTGAGGCCAGCCTGGTCTACAAAATGAGATCCAGGAAAGGCACAAAGCTACACAGAGAAACCCATTGTACAATGAGTCTTTGCCCCAGGATGCAGAATGAGGCTGTGTTTAGAGATGGATTTTACAGAAGTCACTGAGTCACAATAAGCTCAGTATGGTCCAGCATCACTCTTTTGCATATGGACACCCAGTTTTCCCTGCACCAAGCTGAAGAAGCTGTTCTTTCTCATTGGATGGTCTTGGCATCCTGTCTGAGGAGCACATGACCACAACTAGCCATGTCTGCAGGGTTTGGTTCTGGCACTGGTCAATGTGTCTATCCATACGTCAGAACTGTACTGCTGGTTATTGAATCTTGAGATGTGTTTGAAGCTCAGCTTCCTCCTTTTTCAAGATCTCTCTGTCTCACTAGGGTCCCTTGGTATTCCATATAAATTTTAGAATGAATTTGAGTGAGGCATTGAGATCTTCAGGTATTATTGTATGGCTGTCTGTGTCTTCAATTCTGTGAAGATTTCCATTGTGTCATAAATGTATGCAATTGTTTTGTATGTTATTATACTGAATCTTTAATGAGTTTATACTTTGTCTCTGTATATTTTTCTGACTTAACATCTACCATCTTTCATTCACACACTGGCCTTGGCTTCCTATTGGTATAGCACAGCTTTTCTATCCTTTTCCTTCTGGACCCATCTGTGTTTCTTGATCTAAATCAAGTATCCTATGAAGAGTCCATAGCTAGGTCATAGGTTTGATTTTTCTCTGTGTAGCCTTGGCTGTCCTGGAACTCCCTCTGTAGACCAGGCTGGCCTTGAACTCACAGAGATCCACCTGCCTCTGCCTTCCAAGTGCTGGGATTAAAAGCATGCAACACCACCTCCCTGCCATTTTTGTGGTTCTTAGGTGTCACAGTTGGGCAGGACTCAACAGTTTCCTTCCCTTGACAAATTGCATAGTATTTTCTGGTACCATGAAAGCTAAGCCACAGAAAGAAGGCTTTCAGGTTAGATCCAGCTCAGATAATTGAAGTCCTATATCCTAAATTACGCAGTGTCTTCAGCAATAGGGTTTTGCCTCTGAGAAGCCCCCAAGGGCAACAGCCATAGTCTTTATTATTTTTGGAGTCACTTGGAATACACTGGTCAACCATTCTCAAACCTGGTACTGGGATTTTTGTTAGTCTATAGTTCTTGTGGGGAACATTGCCGAAATGATCCCCAATGGTGTAGCTTCCTTTAAGATCTATATATGAAGGTGTGTAGATGAATATATATATATATATATATATATATATATATATATAGAGAGAGAGAGAGAGAGAGAGAGAGAGAGAGATGGAGATGGATATAGATATATGCATACACTTATATGTATCATGTATGGTTTTAGGTAAACAGAAAATAATACGTTTCCTAAAGGTTTTATCAAGCACCCTTAGTGTTGTTTGTACCTCCTCTCTCTTCTGTATCAACCTCCTTCTCCCCTCCACAGGTGGAGGCTCCTCTCCATTTTTCCATAGCCCCGCTTCATATCACCTGTATCATGGATCCCCTCTCAAGCCCCATCTACCACAGTCCCCTTCTACATTCCTGGTTTCTTCAATTGCTCCATGTTGCATATTCATATCTGAAGATTTTGGAGCTTAGAACCACATATGAGAGGGAACATGTACCATTTATCTTTCTGAGTCCATGTTACCTCACTTTGTTCTATCTTCTAGGTCCATCCATTTACCTACAAATTTTAAGATTTCATTTGTCTCTACAGTATGGTGATGAATAGTATGCCATTGTATATATGCCACATTTTCATCTTCCACTCATCTGCTGTTGGACATTTAGGTTGTTTCAATTCTCTGGCTATTGTGACTATAACAGCAATGAGCATGGCTAAGCAACTATCTGTAGAGTAGGATGCTGAGTCCTTTGTGCACATGCCAAGGAGTGATATAGCTGGGTCATATGGTAGGTTTATTTTTAGTTTTTTGAGGATTCTTAATACTGATATCCAGAGTGCTACATCAGTTTTCATTTCTGTAAATGAGGGTTCCTTAAATTTGCCCAGCAGAGTCCAATGGGATACTGAGGAAGACAGGTGTCCAAGGCTGACTTTTAGGGTGACTGTTCAGACATAATGTGAATGAGTGTGAGCTAGGTTGCCACCATTCAGAAAAGTAGACTTTCAGGAAACTCTAAGAGCAAACAACAAAGTGAGCTGCTACAGCCCACCTCTGGTTTCATTTCTCAGAAGGTGGCCCAGCCATGGAGGCTACCTTCCATGGAGTCCCGTCCCTCACTTTGCAGGAATCTGGTCAGTAGTTCTCCAACTCTCCTTTTTATCTTTAATTTAATTAACTTTTTGCAGTGCTGAGGATCAAGTCCTTGTGAACACTAGGCAAGCGCCCTACTGCTGGACCACAGTCCCACCCTCTGTCCTTACCTTCTTTGCACTCTCTTCTCTGTGAGGGCCTTGGGCTATGTGGTATCCTATAGCCAAACAGTCACATGTGCCAGCTCAGCCTTCCCTTCCTCTTCTCATAAAGCTTTAAGGTCACCCTCTGGTCCTTATCTAACTCAGTCACCTTCCAAAGGCTCTAATCCAAACATCACCAACCTGACTTTGGGGGATGAGTCTCTAAGACATGAACTTTGGGGGACATATGCAAATTGCCCCAAGAAAGCCCCTGGGGGAAGCTGTCTGGTCTAAGAAAGAGCTAAGGAAGTGACACAAGGGCTCACCTGGCTGTTTGTCAGGCCTCTTTGCGTTTCTTTAAGCAACTCTTTCAAAGAGAATCTGTAATAATATGAAATCATTAAAGCAGAAGCATTGGTTTGCTGTGGATTATGCTCATTGTTAATAAAAAAAACTGATTGGCCGATAATAGGGCAAGAACAGGTTGGGTGAGGCAGCCTGACACAGAGAGAATGATGGGAGAAGAAGGGGCAGAGTCAGGAGAGATGCCAGTTAGCCACCGAGCAAGCAGGACATGTTTAAAAAAAAGGTAACAAGCCATGAGCCACGTGGAAAAGCATAAATAGAAATATGGGTTAATTTAAGTGTAAGAATTAGCTAGTAACAAGCCTGAGCTATTGGCCAAGCATTTATAATTCATATTCAGCCTCTGAGTTAGTTATTTGGGACCAGGCAGTCGGGACAGGAAACGTCCAATTATACTGGCTCTTTTCAGCCTGTTGTTGAGACTTCTGTGCTCAGGTTTCCTGCCCAATGTAGAGTTCACTGGGCAAGTCAGGCCCTGAGTGAAACCTCCAGGACTGAGTGAGAGAGCAAAGTGACCTCTCACTCAGTCAAGTGGAGTGACATGAACAAGCAAGTGAAGGACCCAGCCAAGCTACAGGTGAGCGATGCAAAAAGAACATTGGGAGTGTGGCCAGCAGGTCCTTCCAGACACAGAAATAAGTCAGGAAACCCCTTATATTCTGCAGTACCTTGGGAATATGGCACCTCTGAGACAGGACACATGCTCCCAGACACATGCTGCCATTGTCACATGACACATCAGAACAAGCTGGCACCAGCTTACCAGGGGTGAGCAAACTCATGTGAATAGGCAATAGTAACCATTTTAGGCTTCAGGAGCACGAGGTTTGTAATAGCCATAGGAGTTGGGATGCTGTGGCTGGGCTGGTCCTGCTGTCTAACGCCTCATCATAAAGTGATGTCCTTATTAGGCCTCATAGTTTCCACCTTCACCCAGTGGGTCCAATTAAAACCAAATCTCTCTTTGGAGAAAATGGGTGAGCATTCAATGGTACCTGTTAAAAGTCAAGACTGGGTGGGAGAGTCTTGTCTTACAAGTCCTGGGCAAGTCCTGCCTGGCCCAACTCCCCCTCCATCCCCAGAATAAACCTGCCTTACCCAAACACAAACTTTACATAGGATCTGGTCTGAGCTCTGAGATCCCCAGGTACAGGTTCTTAGTATTGAGCTATGCCTGGCATTGGGGGAGTCATGAGCCTGGTATAGTTCCTAGGTGCCAAGCCCTAGAGAGAGTTCTAAGACATGCACCCTCTGAGTCTACTTTAGGTCCTGGTACTCTGTGATGGGGGAACGTCTTTCTGTACACTGAGAATATGTGTTTCTCTGACTGGTTGATAAATAAAGCCGTTTGGCCTATGGCAAGGCAGCTTAGAGTCAGGCAGGAAATTCAAAGGGAGAGACAGGAAGAAGGTGGGTGGGGGACACCAGCCCGCCACCCAGGGAGCAGCATGTAATGGCACACAGGTAGAGCCACGGAACACATGGCAACATATAGATTAACAGAAATGGGCTGAGTTTAAGTGTAAGAGATAGTCAATAGTTAGCCTGAGCTAATGGCCAAGCAGTTTTAATTAACATAAGCCTGTGTGTATATACTTAGATCTGAGTGGCTGCGGACCGAGCAGGACACAGGAGAAAACTTTCAGCTACAACCCTGAGGCTCTATGGGCAAGGAAGTTGAGTCAGCCAAATCCCCTACCCTGTACTACATGACCTGGATCTTTCATGGATAACTCCTCCCACACTTGGTCCTTTATTCCTGGCAACATAAATCCCAGCTGGGACAACTAATAAAGACTATAGTAAGACCCAGAGCTGCGTACAGCGATTAGAGAGAACAGATGCTAATGCACAAGAGGCTGTTTTTCTGCAGCGCTGACCTACTTCCTGGGATGACAGTGTAAAGCATGGCCAATGCCCACAGACTTGTGGCTGGGAAGTGTGTCTGAGTGGAGGCCTGATTAATTGGTACTTTGCTTTTCCACTTAAGCATCTAATGAATTATTAATCTTCATTGGAAATATATAAATTCCAACTTCTCTCACAGCTGGAGGACCAGGGAATTTGTCTCAAGGTGAAAGCTGTGAGAACTTTGAAAAGTGAGCAGTCATCAGTGGGGGGATGATGACTTCCCCCATGGGACAATTCCAAGTGTCTCTGAGGAGGCAGAAGGAAGCACAGCAAAGGCCAGCAGGGTGAGCAGGGTGGGATAAAGGAACAACATTCAGGCCTAATCCAAGTGTCTGGTGGGTAAATTATTGTGAACAGCAGCATGTGCCTGTTCTAGCCAGCACAGGGAGATTAATCTGGTCCTGGTCAATGACTCTGTAGGGTGACTACACTACAGGTTCCCCTCCTTGGGGTGTTCCATGTGCCCCCCAAAGATTCCTCAAAAACAAGCCTATCTTCAGAATGTGGCTCCCTTGGGATGGTTCCAGAAAAGAGAATTGCAGTAAGTCATTCTTTAAGGACTAAGACCCCATACATCAGAAAGCCTGTGCCCTCAAGGTCATGAGAGGCTCTGAAAAAACTCCCAAAGGGTAGAAACACCACAGATGGGTGGAGAATGAAGTTCGGTGGTACGTGCAGATTCCTTCACAGGACCAACGGGAGAGTCTCTTCAAAGCTGAGTTGATAGGTTTACACCAGTCAACGAAAGAAGAGCAAAAAGGGAGAACTGAAAAGTCCAGTTTACTTTAAAGCAATTCTGCTCATGATCTTGCATGAGGCTGACACACAAAACAGGTGTCCCTGTGCCTACCACTGTGAGTTCTGTGAGAGCTAGACTACAGTTGTCCTGGTTTTATGAGTGCCTGGCAGATAGTAAACATCCCCCCTCCCCCCACCATATTTGTTTAACTATATATTTAAAGATCTGAAGCCCAGAAGAGAAAAGAAGCATCTGAACATCGGAGTGAAAATAACAACCAACTGTGGCCTGCTTTGAAAGAAAGTGTTAGATATGGAGGAAGATAATGGGAACCTCCCCACACATCTGTTCTGCTGGGAATCAACTCAACTCCCCTGGCTCCTCCCCTGGCTCCAGCTCTTTACTCTGTGCTTGGGGGTGATCTCTCTGAAGTACAAGGTAATGACATTTTCCACAACACTAAAGAGTGTTGCCACTGGACAAGTCTTGTGTGCCCCGTTTCCAGAACAGAATCCACAAGTGGAATCCAGGGAACTAGGTCTGCTGTGGGATGGTCTGTATGTCAAATGTGTTGCTCTGATTGGTCAATAAATAATACACTGATTGGCCAGTGGCCAGGTGTAGCTAGAGTTTTCCTGCCTGGCCCACAGTCAGGACAAATCTCTGACACCCGCCAGTCCCACAGCCATTCAGACCCGACCAAGTAAACACAGAGACTTATATTGGTTACAAACTGTATGGCCGTGGCAGGCTTCTTGCTAACTGTTCTTACAGCTTAAATTAATCCATTTCTATTCATCTATACCTTGCCACGTGGCTTGTGGCTTACCGGTACTTTACATCTTCCTTGTCCTGATGGCGGCTGGCAGTGTCTCTCTCACCCAGCTTCCTGTTCTCTCCATTCTCCTCTCTGTTAGTCCCCCCTATACTTCCTGCCTGGCCACTGACCAATCAGTGATTTATTCATTGACCAATCAGCAACACATTTGACATATAGACCATCCCACAGCAGCCAGGCAGGAAGTATAGGCAAGACTAACAGAGAGGAGAATTGAGAGAACAGGAAGGAGTGGGGAGGCACTGCCAGCTGCTGCCATGACAAGCAGCATGTGAAGATGCCGGTAAGCCACGAGCCACGTGGCAAGGTATAGATTTATAGAAATGGATTAATTTAAGATATAAGAACAGTTAGCAAGAAGCCTACCACAGCCATACAGTTTGTAAGCAATACAAGTCTCTGTGTTTACTTGGTTGCGTCTGAGCGGCTATGAGACTGGCGGGTGACAGAGATTTGTCCTGACTGTGGGCCAGGCAAGAAAACTCTAGCTACACTAGGCCTAAAGGAAACTATTGATTCCCTGAACCAATCCACTGGACCAAGTGGTCCCTGATCCACTGGGCCTACAGCCAAGTAGAAATCGGGAGGCCCCTGATAAGACTTCTGCTTCTAGCCTGAAGAAACTACACCAGGCATCATGCCGCTCTGCCAAGGCTGCCCAGATCATCCTGCAGTTTCCTGAGAGATTTGTGGCTGGTAGAGGGCAGGTAAAAAGGCAGAGGAACAAAAAAAAAAAAAAAAAAAAAAGGCCGGGCGGTGGTGGCGCACGCCTTTAATCCCAGCACTCGGGAGGCAGAGCCAGGCGGATCTCTGTGAGTTCAAGGCCAGCCTGGGCTACCAAGTGAGTCCCAGGAAAGGCGCAAAGCTACACAGAGAAACCTTGTCTCGAAAAACCAAAAAAAAAAAAAAAAAAAAAAAAAGGGCAGAGGAAGGCTAATCTGGCTCCAGTCGGCAGCCTTTCGGGATGAGACTCAAAGACTGCTATGCCATGGCGTATAGGAACAGCTGCCAGGTCCAAACTCACCATTCACATAGCACACTGTACAATTTCCTAAGCAGAATGTTAGTTTAGTATTTCGCAGGTCCTGTAGAGAACGTTCTTCTAATTCCATTATCTACAGTCAATCTCTTAGCTTAGCTCCTCACTTTTAATTGCTAGGCTCATAGCCCAAGAACAGTTTGTCAACTTTCTCTGATATATCTGTAATATCATTAGCAGCAATACCTCCTAGGAGCTGAGAATACAAAAGAATTGGTCTTGACTTTTTTAAAAATGGGTCCTCGGGCACATCCCCTCAACCCTCATTTTACCAAGGGGGAAACTGAGACACAGAGTCACCAGCATCAAAAAGTCCAGTTGCCACACATGAGCCACAGCTGAAGTTCAGCCTGCTGAGTGCTCACCTCAAACAGAGACAGCTCAAGGACATCAAACACCACCATGAGTGAATGTTCTGGGAACCATGTAATAGGGGGCTAATAATAATAGGGGGTCAGGGGTAAAGGGGTCCCAAACCATCCTAGCAAAGCCCACTTTTTTCATCATATGGCATCTTGGTCTTAGAAACAAATGTTTCCTATTCTGTTCAAATATTATTTGACTACTTTCCCAGAGTTTTGTGGTGTGGATTTTTGGATTAGTATGTCCTATTTTGAGGATTGTAAATCACTTTTGAACATACATAAGCTGTTTATAAAATAATTTACTAAAGTGGAACTCAGCCTGTATTAACAGCTGGAAAATCACTCAACACAGACATCTCTACAAAGCCAGTGCCAGAGGCCCAGCTAATGAGCAGTATGGTCCTTCCCACAACTGCCTCCTTTGTGTCTACAGAGCACATGTTTGGCAACATGATGGGGCTGGCTCACTCCCACAGATCACGTTTATCTAAGGTATATCTGCAGAATACCTCCAGACTGGGGCCAGGTCAGAGGAGGTTGGTGCTCAAGGTTGGAGCAACAGCAGTCAGTGCACCATACTGAGCAGAGAGCAACCTAGCCCCAAACACAGGTTTTGGATCCCCCAGAAGCAGCTGTTCCATAGCCATTGACCTCAAAAATGTACAGAGATCTCTGAATTTTAGCTCTATAGAGCAAGGCAAAGCAACAAGATGTGCGTAATCCTTCAGCATCAGCCACAGAATTCAAACCACCAAACAGACATAATCCTTCCCAGTTACTCACTCACTACCTACAAGATAATTTCATACTAATTCATTTTCATAACCACTGTAAATCAGTCAACTACAGAGACAGTGATTCAGGATTGGCTTCAGATTAATTGACTTCTGCAGTTGCCATCCTGAGGGTGGCCATTAGGACAGACCAGTAGGTGGAGTCTTTATGTTCCAGACAACGAACAATTTCTTCATGGAAATCCCAGTGTGTTCTTTTAGGCTCTCTCCATGGGGTGATCAAGGCCCTGTGTTTACTGAGACTATATAATTCACTAAAGTCAACCTGCAGGAGAAAATGTCACATCCACAAATGCCTTCATAGCATCATCTGGATGCAGCTTTGAGGGACATGACTATACATGGGCCATGTGGCCCCGAAGCAAACCTACCCTCACTGTGACACATGCAGAACAAAAATTAACTCTTTCTGCATCTTTGCTCTCACAGCTCATGGTTTGGAGCCCAAGAGAACTCAATGGCCCATCTCTGCAGGCTCTTTCCTACAAGGGCAAAGTCTGTGGGAACCCATGAAGGCTTTGAGGCTTCCGCAAGGCATCCTGCTCTTAGTGATGAGAACTGTTTGGCTATGGCATTTTAGCTTCACTCTTGATCCATCCAGGCACTCCCATTTGGATTTCTTATGTTTGTGTTTCTCACTATACAAATCAAAAAGCAGCTTGAAAAGTCCAAGCCCAAGAGAAATTATAAGGAATCCATCAAACCTGGGAAGCACAGCATTGTTAAGACCCAATTTCTCCTTTGATGAGAGCCCATAACTTATTTAGGTCACAGCAAGATGCCATGGTCTTGGTAGAAAGGAGCTTGCCTCAACCCTGCCAGGTAATCATCACTGTCTATTGGCTATATGAGACTCCTTCACTGTGGTTTTTCTGCAGTTTATTAATTATTTTTTGAGATTATAATATAATTACATCATTTCCCCTTCACTTTCAACCCTCCCATATAAGTCTCCTTTAAAATTTATGGCCTCTTTTTTTCATTAAGTGTGTGTGTGTGTGCGCACAAAATACCTAAATATAATCTGCTCAGTCTGTATAATACTACTTGTATGTACATGTTTTCAGGGCTGAGCATTTGGTATTAGATAACCAATCAGTGTGCTCCTCCCTGAGGAAGACTATTCTCCTTCTTCCAGCATTCCCTAGTTACCTGTAGTTTTTTGGGTAAGGGTCCAGGCCTCAGGATCTCCCCCATTAACTTAGCATACATATTGATGTAGCCCTTGTTCAATTCATGTTTAGGCAGTCATGTTGGAAAGACTTTATGGGTGTAGCTTCTGACATTCCAAGGAGACACAATCTCACAGCAAGCTTCTTATTTCTCAGGCCCCTTACAGTCTTTCTGCTCCCTCTTCCATGGTGATCTCTGAGCTTTGGATCAAGAGTTGTATTTTACATGTGCCCTTTTGGAATGGGCTCTACAATTCTGCATTTTGATTGGTTATGGTTTTATATAAGAGTCTCCATCTGTTTCAACGAGAAGTTTCTTTGATGAGGGGTAAAAACTACACTTACCTGTGGCTTTAGAAGAACAATTATTTAGAATGTAGATACAGATTGTGCTGGTTCCATAAAGTGTCCACTGTAGATTCTCCCCCAAGATCTATAAATTCACTAGTCCTGGGTGGATGGCTGGGTTTCCTGCACCAGGCATGATCTTCCTCTTAAGGAGTGAATCTTAAGTCCAATTAGAGAGCTGTTGGTTACCAACAAAGTATGTGTGCTTCTGCTACACCCTTAGGGTTATCATGCCATGCTGGTCATTGTTGTGGTTCATAGACATCATAGCTGTGTAGGACCTTGTAAGGCACCTGGTCCACAAAAGCTAGTCCTCAGGGAAGAAATTTTCGGGTCACTTCCAGCTCAGGGAGCTATGGACCATGTATCTGAAGTGCATGGTGTTCTTCTGCAATAGCAACTTACCTTCCAACTCTGGAAGACAACCAAGGGTAATGGCAACAGCCTATAATGTTTTGGGAGTCTCCTGGACAACCCTGACCAGCAACTCCAAAGAAGGATTATTATGCCTGATGTTGGGGTTTTGTTAGATGGTCTATGGCTCTTGAAGGGAACATGCTCATACAGAACATGAAATGTGTCCCTTATTAAAACACCAATCAATGGGAAGTGTCATACACAGAAGAGATCAACCTTGCTGACTCAGCCACATGCACAGGCCTTGGTCACATATCCACAATAGCCTTAAAACACGATTGTGTATGGATATTAACCCTTCCATTAAACTTTATCATAGCCGTGCTTTAGACACCTTACAGGCCCTTTTTTTTATTCCCAGGAGCACCTGGGTTCTCAATTTGCTCTGCCACTCACTCAGAGCATTGCCTTGTCTTTGTCCAGAAATATAATGGGTGACATTATTCCCCAAACTTATGCTTCTCTCTTTTTGATTTACAGTCTTGTTTTTCTTGGGTATTTCCTCAAGCAACTTTTCTACAGCATCAGGGTACCTCAGAGGAAATGTTACCTGAGATTACAAATATATAAAATGACTTGAGTGTATGAACATTTTACATATATATATGTATATAGATGTATATGTATGTATGTTTGTATATAGATGTATATGTGTATATAGATGTATATGTATGTATGTGTGTATACAGATGTATGTGTGTGTGTGTTTGTGTGTTTGCATGTTCATGTGAAGGGGTACACAGTGGGGTTTTGTACATATATGTATGTGGAGGCAGAGGTCAACCTTGAGTTTCATTCCTTAGGAACCATCCATTTTGTTTTGTTGAGACAGGATCTGTCATTGATCTGGAGCTCATTAATTCAGTTAACCTGGGTGACAGCTGGCTAGGAAACAGTAGGAAGCCATTACTATCATACCTGGCTTTTACACATGGATTCTGGGAATCCAACTCAGGTCCTCACAGTTGCATGGCAAACACTTTACCAAGTGAGCCATCTCCTGAGCCCTAAAATAACTTTAATCTACAGTTGAACCTTGATAATTGATGATTTGTCTTATTTTCCTCCTACCTCCCCCAGACCTTGAAGATTGTCTCATTGCTTGGTGTTCTGTGCCCTTTCCTGGGACCTTTTCATTCATCTCCTGAGCATTTGGTGAGTATAGTGAATCAGGAGACTTCTGTCCTTTAATTCTGGAAATTTTCTTACAATTCTTCAGTAACTCCCCCCACCCCCATTTTCTCTTTCTGATTCCCATGATTCCCAAAAGTCGGGTGTTGGAACTGTGAAATTATTTTTAAACTTTAGTCTGCTTTTCAGGGTGTTTCCTGGTGTTATTTCCTAATTATTACTGAACTTTTCACTTTGTAGGTTATGGGGTTTTTTTCCCCAGAGTCCTTTCTAGTCCGCACTGGTCCTTTGTGGGAACTTGCTCATGTTGTCCCTGTACCATTCTCTCAAACCCTCCTTCCTCTTTCCTCTTTGCTCCTGGTGTCACATCTGCACTGGTATGTTTGGCTTTCTCATGTCAGGGGCTTTCTTTAC